GTATTCTGTGTTTATGCTTGAGATTTGTATTGCAGATTTATCTTTCCTGAAATCTTCAATTTTCTTCTCAATACTTTCGAGCCCTGTTTTGAGCTGTGTTTCGAGCGACTTCGTCATTATTTTCCCTAGCTGAGACAGAAATAGTCAAAATGAGACAACCATTACATACGCACTGTGGACACAAAAATAAGATAAATTGACTACATTTTCCCAACAAATTTATTACAGAAACAAGCATTATATACTCTATGTCATACTACTGTACACACTACTCTATGTCCCCAACGCCCGAGTCACAAAGTCGTTACCTGCTTCTGGTTTGAGGAAATTTTTTGCCTCTAAATCTTTGACTAGACCTGCAGGTATATTCAGATTTCCCAACTCTGTAGCGGTAAAATTCTTGACATCGCCCAGTGTATTCAACCAATTCCGAGTAAATATTTTATTAACAGCAGTTGTTTGCTCTGAGCTTGCCTTGCCAGCATCAACAAAGGTTTGCAAATATTGAGCAACAGTGGTTTGATCGTTCATGTTCGAAAAAATGGATTTCTAAACGAAAAAGTGTAGTAAAAGGCTGCGCGCGCGATGTACTAATACTAATGCTGATCAGTGGCTTAATCAATATTAGGAACTTTCTAGATCTTTTCATTGTTCCCTTCTATGCAAAATGTGACCAATGATAATCAATGCGTAGAAGTTGCAGTTTACTATATCAGGTCACATTTAGAGCGATCGCACTACATGTGTTAACAACTGTATGTAAAAATAAAACTTCATTGCTTGAACAGAGCCCAAACAACAATTTCCATCAACAAACGTTACTTTTGTGATTGTAATATATGATAGCGCGATGGTATGAATGGGAGACCATGTTTTCATTAAGTTGAGACAATTTGTGAGTCATTTTTTTTTATTTGAAGATTTGAAGATCAAACAGGATATTTACAATAATTGACACATATTTTGTCATCTTGACTTATTATTTCTTTAAAGGCAAAATAGATATATGTGAAGATTCACTAGAGCGATTGCATGGGAGGAAATACTCGGACCCAAAGCCATCAATGAATACCCCGAATCTATGCTACATATTATTATTATTACTAACACTGTCATTTTTCTCCTCCTTTTCTTTATCAATCCATTCCCGTACTGCTTCGACAGTAATTTTCCGTGTGGATTGGTTTTTCGTTGGTAGAAGTTACTCAGTGTAGAGATGGCAATGCTTTTTTCCTCGCGTAACTCGCGGATTTGAGTTGAGTGGTCACTTTGGTAAATGAAAAGTCCGAGTCCAGCTCAGATTTTGTATCAAATAATTTTTCCACAGATTTTCAACGTCTTCTACGTATTTTCGTTCGCTGAGCAGCTTACTGGATTTAGATTTGATTTTGCTTTTGTTTAAATCGACTGCCCCGAATTACTATTTCAAGCTTTTGATTTATATCGCAGAGTTGAATGTATTACCGACGACAAGTCCGATCAACAGCTCACAAACAAATTCAACGGTGAAAAGAACCATTTTTTTATGATTTGTTATTTGCTTTTTATAGAATCATTTGTTTCAGTGTTGATGTTGGAAAATTTTATAGCTTTTTTTTTTAAGGCGAGATTGAATTAGGTTATGCCGTTTTTATAATAAATTCTCGGTTTCATCGAAATTGCGAGTTCATTAAACATAATTACGATTGAGTTGATTTGCTGATCAAACAGATCATCGTCTCCTAAAATTTGGACCGACTGATTTATTTCGTGATCCATTTTCATACTTATCATTGTTCTAATACGATAAAGGATTGCTACTCATAAATTGTGTCAGATTTGTAGTACTAGGGTACAATGCACAACGAATCAAATTATTTTCTATCGCATTTATTGTCATTTTGAATCGCAGTATAATTAAAGAACCAAAGGCCGCCATTTTATAAAATTGTAATAATGCCTACAGCCTTGCAAATAGCAATAGATGTGATAAACTCGGTGCATTTAGTGAGATTTTGGGAAGGGTTACTATAGAAGCAGTGATGATCGTGCGACGATATCAGTCTTTCGAACGGAATCTGATTTTATTGAGTATTAATATGAGAGTTTAATTTTAATTAGCCTCTTATCGAGATCATTATAGATAGGCATTATCGATAAAAATAAGATTTCTATTCTTCCTGATTATAAAACTAAAACTAATCGTTATGTAAAAGGGTAAAAAGTAAGGAATTGCGGTGAGCAAAAAAAAAAAAAAAACAAACAATTTTTATTATAAATTGGACTTATAGCTTTAGTACTACGAAATATAAAAGAAAAGAAATAATTATTTCAAGTTTTCGTTTTTTCCTTGATTTATTATAAGTTGGTGTTAATGTTCGTTTATTAGTTATGACTTTCCTTTCTTCTTGATAAATTCATAAGTGATTTTTCTCATCTGATAATTATGGTACATTGATTTTAAAACATATGGAGCAATTTTTTCTCCTTGACCTTTCTTTAGAATGCTTCTAATAGTGTTATAATTCTTTGGTTCTATGGTAAATTTAATGTAAATCAGTTTCATATTAATGTTTTTATACAGTGATAATACTATATTAAATGTGTTATAATTTATAATGTCAAGCAAAAGTTTATTTCAATTAGGTTGATTGATGTCAGTCATATTTTGGTATAATATAGATTAATTAAAAAATGCAATTCAGATCGTTCCATAAATTTGTGCACAAGTCACAGCCAAAATGTCATTAGTCAAATTAGTTAACTTCAGCCACATCAGCCTCTCTTTTATAAAATGTTCACTTTGTCTGGTTTTGTTGCAGTCTGCCCCATATAAAATATGTTGCTATGGTGTCTGAGTTAGTTGATAATAAGTCCAAATTATAATGGGTGAGTTACTTTACAAGAACTTTTTGGATTGTGTTGTAAAATTGATGGGTGAATATCAAACAGGAACCAACCTAATATACTTTTTCATTATAATAGAAGTCAAAGCTATCTGAAAGTCTTGCCTACCACAATGATGACCCACAACTGACTCTTCAAGCATATTGGACAGCATGGCACAAGAAAACTGGACTTGATAACCAGATCTTGCCCTACATACTAATAGTAATAGTAATAGTGCTGCCTCCATGCACTTCAAAATATGCTTCCGACTTTTGGGTGATCCCTCATCAAGAATCTACTGGAAACCTCAGGTTGATAACCAACACTGTGGGCTGAAAGAAATTTGCTAAATAAAAATAATTTTGCTGCCTGGTAAACATGTTATGGATGTAAAACAATATAATGAGATTATTCAAAAACGCATTACTGAACATAGTATCCTTGTGGTATTAGTATGCTATCTTTGGCTCTGTTTGAGGATATATGGGGCAGACTGCAACAAAACCAGACAAAGTGAACATTTGATTATGTGACATAAATGAGAGGCTGATTATGGT